AATCGAACGACATCCACGAACTTTCAAAGTTAGGAAGTTAGCCCACCCAAGTTGTCCAAGAACTTCAAAGTAGGTATCAAACGAAAGCTAATCATAAGCTAGTATTTGCAAGTCCGTTTTTAGAATTTGCAAGTAAATCGAACGACATCCACGAACTTTCAAAGTTAGGACGTTAGTCCACTCAAGTTATCCAAGAACTTCAAAGTAGGTATCAAACGAATTGGGAATTTTTTACTTTTGACCTCCCAAAGTATTAACTAGATTCACTTTCTGATCGAATGAAGTACTGAAGTCGAAAATCGAAGCACAATTACTGTCCCAAAACGTGATACCAGATAAAAAAAAAAAAATAAAAAAAATTTTTTTTTTCGTTTTTCGTATACAACGATATAATATCATTGGATTCAAATTCCATCTATTACAGTAACCCACTTGTAACCTACTGTACATCAGAGCGACATCCACGACTTACCCGCTGTTTTTCTATTAAGAATATGCAACTATTCCTAATTCCTCTATAAAATATAATTTTAGTATAGTTCTGGTTCCTTATTTGATACCTATTTTTAAGTCTTTAATTTTATCGAAATACTTTCTTTATGTTTATCCAGCAAAATTGAATTTTATGAATATTTTTTAAATTTAATGTCATAGAATATATGTCGTTATATCTAGTTCTATCATATAGATTTACTTGATAAATTAAAAAAAGTAGAATCTATCACAATTATAAGTAAATTAATACATATATATCAACATTATTCAAAAAAAGATATTTTTCTAGACTCAAATTTATAATTGTTTCATTAAATTATTGTTGGTATTTAAAGTAAATTTAACACTATTAATATTGTTGTTTGATAATTTATCAAATTGGTCAATAAATGACTTTGATAATTTACTATGTTTTATTTAATAGATTAGCATCATACTAAAAAATAAATTATAAATCTTATCCATCAAATAGTTATTTAAATAAATAATAATGTCACTAACAACAATTGCATTTTAATCAGAACTTACATGTAGAGTATTTATAAAAAATATATCACATGTTATATAGGTATAAATTATATGGTAATCGCTTTAAGCGCAAGTCCCATGTTGCTGAGGGTAAATTATGATGAATAGAAATCAACAGGCTACGAGGTATTTTCGGTTTAAAGATTTAATTTCACTCACCAAAAATGATTTTATTAAAAAGCAAATAATAAAATTAGTTGAAAGGACACATAATGAACAACAACAATGTTTTGAAGTTGAACAAACTGAAAGTGTATCTATTACACTTACTCAATTGACATTACAAGAAAAATTGGAATTTGAAATAGGCAAGTAAAAGTAAAAGAACCATTGATTTGAAAACACATAGGTATAGAAACAAATTTGGTTAAAATAATAAGAAAATAATTAAATTTATTTGAAAATGAAGAAACACGTGGACATCATTTAGAGCTAGCGTTTAAATATTTAATGTCTATTCCTCCTACTAGCATTGAACCAGAACGTGCATTTTCGGCAGCAGCCTATATAGGAAATAAACCGAGAAGTAGACTGGGAGATGAAGCACTAGATGACGCTCTATTATTTCTGAGATCGTATTTTCAAAATAAATAGAACATATTTTTTGTAAATTATATTAAAATTTCTGCATAATTTATTTTTTTTTTACATTTCGGGATCCCGGGATCAATAACTAAATATCTCGAAATCCCGGGATCGTAAAATAGGGCCAGATCTACACATACCTATATCAGTTAAAACTTCAGTTATATGATCTACACATGAAAAACACAACTTTAAATTCTCAGTGCTAAGAAATTCTTCAAATGTGCCATCAAATGGATTCACTAAGCCTGCATGTTTCAGAAATCATAGTTTCAATGCTTGAATAATTTGGGAAAAATTTTGATTTACGTCAATTAAGATTCCTCTAGTTTTTAAATTGACTAAATCTGCTGCTGGATTGTATGATTTAACTTAAACAACTGGAAAACTGGATTTACAAACTTTACATTTAGTATATTTCAATTGTCTTTTTGTTATATACTTATATGTACACATATAAAAACAATAGGTAAATACCTACTGTAGATAATAATCTTAGAATATTATTCAAGTAGTAACAGTTAATTTGATTTATCCAGCTAAGAAATAAACTATACATTCAAGTACTATTGAGTCTAAATTACTATAGCTAGCGCCTATGCTCTTTCAAAATGTCATCTAAAGTTCAATAACCATCTTCAACAATATCATAATTTTTTTTTTCTAGATTCTTAACTTTTTCCATTCTTTCATTTGTACCATTTGGATCATTTATTATACTTTTTAAATCACTTATGGTGATAACTGGGACATTTTCTATAAAAATAAATAAGTTAAGGTATTCTAAAAATAGTTTTTGAAACAAAATGAAGGGTTTTTATACAACAGCGCCTTCAGCATTTTTAAATAAGGATAATTTTTATGGTATAAAATATTTAAATTGAATTAAGTAATAAATAACAACAATTTATAAAATAAGAATAAGTAAATTCAATTAATTATTTAAAAAACTTAATTACAATATTAGATATTCAATTGTTCACTAATTAATAATAATATTTTACTATGATATACAATTTAGCATGGTGAGATCAGAAGTATAAGGAGCTTTTATAAATCGTTCAATTTCTGGACATGGTTCTTCAACATATTCATCATTGAAGAGAAATTCGTCTTCGCCTTGAGGCAATTTTGAACTAATTTCATCATTATTGTCAAAATTTGGAGTCGTATCAATTTCCAATTGTAATAAATCATTATTGCTTCCTTTTTTTCATCTCCACTCAGCCATCTTAGCTTAAATTTTGGATGTGATACTGCCGCTAAAATAATTGTACTATCTTTTTTCATATTTTTAACCTCTTTTCCACACCTTGGGAACAAGCAGCAGCTAAAGCTTTGCAGCAACCACCAGTTAAACTCAATTCTTCTAATTGTTTGGATAACCAATTAATTGTTGGTAGAAGATAGCCCATACAAACTGATTTGTCTCCTTGCAAAATATCAAACGCTTTTACCAAGGGTTMCATAACCTATAAAATGTTGAAAAATTATTTAAAATAAATGATAGTAAATATTATAATACGTACTATGCAATAATCAGTCATAAAATCTCTATCTTTTTTATCGAATCTAGGTATGTTTGCAACATCACATATTTTTAGGACTTTTTCTTCATCCTTCTTTAATTGGTCTTTTAAACACTGAACAGCTCTAAATGTAGAGTTCCAACGGGTCATATTAGGAATTTGAATGTATTTATTGAGCGAATCACGAATTTCATCAGCAACTTGACTTGATCTATCCTGTTTATTCCAAAGTACTTGCATCTTTCCAAAAGTTGATCTTGCTTGTTTCTTGTATAATAAATTAGACAATGCGTTTTCGCTATCTTTTGTAGCAACAAGATTTAAGGTATGGCTAGCACATCTATGATGAGGTGGTAAACTATAGGTATGCAATATTCTGATTATCAGTATTATTTAAAATAGAATCCAGTTCTATTACTTCTATACCATCTTCATCACCATCACTATCATCACTGTTATCATTTTCATGTTCAATTTGGTCCAACCATACTTCTGCTGCAGTCTTCATCTCTGTTCCAAAAACTCTGTAATACAAAAAAAAAAAAATTACATTAAATCAAATATTTTCATTTAATTATTCACTTAAAATTATAAATTGACTATTATCATTGAGTATAGATACTATATAATATATATAATACTATACTATCTATACTCAATGCTATTATATAAAATGTGTTTGTTTTTTATTCATAWTAATCAAGATTAATAAATATAGTTAAGTTTTTATTACTAACTTATCAAATTAAATCAATAAAAAAATATATTTATAAATTACTATTTAATATAAATTTAAAATAATAACGTAATAATATATTTTTATTTAATTATTACAATGAAAAATCTAAACAATTTAAAATACAAAATAGGTAGATATAAAGGTTATGCTTACCGAAATGCTTTAACAAAATTTGATCCATTATCCGTTACAACTCTAGTAACTTTATTTGTGATACCATATTCGCAGAATACTTTACAAATCATTTTTATAATAACATCATATGTGTGCCTTCCTTTAATCCTTTTACATGCTAAAACTGCAGACTCTCTTAATAAAGTTGTGTAATTGGACCAATGAACAGTCATTCCAATGTAACTTCTGTACAAATAATAATAACAATTTAAGTCAAATTTTCAATTAAAATTTCATTTTGATTTTAAATTTACCTTTTGTAAACAGACCAACCATCAGTAACCAACACATACATATTTTACAGATGTTGACGTCAATTTATTATTTAAAGAGTCTCTCATATTCATAGCTGTTGTAGATATTTTATGCATGAGATAATTTTTTTAATCATTAGTCAAAGAAATTAAAATAAAAATTTKTTTTCCTTGTATTTAAAAATTAAAAAAAAAAAATGTAAGCATATTTAAGCGCATATATCAGGAATTTTAGCGCATACATATTTCGGTAGTTTTTAGTGCATTAACTTTCGAGCCCTAATAATGAGTCTATGGCTCGTAGATAGGGTGAGGGGAAATTGCCCCCCCCTTCTAACATTATAATTTATTATTAATTTATAAGTTTAATATTATATTTCAAATTTATATTGTAGTATAATATTGTCAAAAATAAAAATTGTGTTTCCTACATGGCTATAAATACACTAATAAATATTATTAAAACATAATTAGATAAAGGGCTGCAGTTTGTGTAAAAAAAGTGGCTTTTAGACCAAAACATCTAGACAACACAGTAGTAATTTGGTTTGAGGGATTTAAATTTTAAAAATGGATTAAGATTGATTAACAAAATTGCTAGGTTTTTATCGAGACGATTTTTAATATTCTGAAAATTGTTAATGTCATGATTAAAAATATAAATAAATCGTATTTTATATTTATTGATAGCACAGCTATAATACCGCGGCACCCTTAAGATGAAATTTGTAGGGGTTAGAGGGTTGAACAAAATTTAATTTTGGTTGTACAGAATTGTACAAAATAAAGTGCATAATACWGTTTGGTTTAAWGTTGAAATTTGTGAAAAATAACTGATCCGGGTGCTGGGGTAACGTTACCGCGGACCCCGTAAGATGAAATGGCAATTTGAAGGGGTTTGAGGGTTGTACAAAATTTAATTTTGGTTGTACAAAATTTAATTTTGGTTGTACAAAATTGTACAAAATAAAGTACATAATACTGTTTGATTATTTCAAACATGAAAATTCATGTTTCAACAACAATTCATGATTTCGAAAGTACGGGTGCTGGGGTAACGCAGCTGGATGCAGCCAATAAAAAAAAAGTGACTTTTAGACCAGTAAGCTGGACAAAACTAGAAGAATTTGGTTGGACAGATTTTAATTTTGATAACGTATTATGAATAATCAACAAGTTTACTAGGTAAAGATCAAGGCGATTTTGAATATTATTATTTTTTCAGCTGTGATATCCAAAAATAAAAATATCGAAAAATTATATTTTTGTATTGMTATTTTTCATTGTGACACTAACAATAATTGGAATATTCAAAATCACCTCGATCATTCCATAGTAAACTAGTTGATCAATCATAATCCGTATTAAAAATTAAAATCTGTAAATCCAAGTTTTTTCAGATTTGTCTAGATTATATTTGTCTAATAGTCCCTTTTTTTCATTGACTGGAGTCCTCTCCAATACTTACACATAAGGTTTATTTTATGATAAAGAATTTAAATATATTGAAAAACATTAAAACCAACAAAATTAATGTTTAGATTTTTAAAATCTACAATAGTTTTGACTTTTGAAAAATCCAACTGCATCCCCTTTAAGTTATACGTAAAGGTTTGATTTAAAGCTCCTGAAATTTCAAGTGCACCTAAATAAATACATATTTCCTTAGTATTGATCTGTCTAAAAAATAATAACAATTACAAAATAGGCGCAACAATAATCAAAAATATACCGGTTGTCAATGATGTTGCTGAGCAAGGTATTAAACTAATAGAAGAGTATAGTGACAAAATTACCAAAGATGAAAGCCGAAAACATTATTTACAGCAAGTTGTGTACATCTATCACAAAACCGATAGACTTAATAAAAGGAATACTAATGGGAAATTGCATGTTAAGATTATATCACACTAATTTTGTCTTTTAATATTATGTATTAGTATATTATATTTATTTTATGATATGAAGTAATTATTATAATTTATTTTAATTGTCAAGCAATATTTTCTCAAAATTCCTAAAACCGTAAATGATAATTTGTCTTTTTACCCTAAAAAGTTTTGTTCAAAATATGAATAGTAGAAAAATGTTTTAATACATTTTCATATAAAATATTTATTTTATGACTTATGGGCTTTTCTTGAAAAATCAAAGTAATCAATCTTTAACGCTCTTGTAAGTTGTAACATAGATTAATAATTATTTCCAATAATTCCCGAACTTTACAAAACTAATTATTATCACAAACGTTGTTTTTTTTTGGGCGGGGGAAGTTTGTTATCTGAATAAATCAGATATCAAAAAGAAGGACTACTCTAAAATACTCCTTAATATTATGATTAAGCGGGAAGTGAAAGAGTTTGGTTCTAATCAACACTGGAATTCTTTTTGGTCCGCGGCTGATGGTCACATTCTGAATTTTATATTATATTCATTATTTATTTATATTTAATTTGCCAATAATTGCCATTTGGTATTTCTCTGATTATTAATCACAATATTCTCTCGTATTGACTATTACTAATAATTAAACATATAGGTGGATCTTTTTTTTTTATTTCACAAACCATGTACCCAGGTATTGTTATAAGTATTTGGTTGGTAATATAATATATCATTAATATTATTCTGAAAATAAGACGTTCAAAAATTTTATAAAGTATTGATAAAATAAAATAATGTATTAAAATTTATTAAAACATTATGTAGTAAGTTTTGAACAATGTTTTTTTTTTTTCTAGTGACTTTTATTAAACAGTTTATTTTGTGTAAATTGTTTCATTCTCATAGAGAAGCAATATTGAAAAACATTTTTTATTTTTTCAGTTCTATATCACTATAAAAAAATGTCAGCAAATCACAATGATTTTCAAGAAAATGATCATTTTTTCGTTAAAAATATCCGGATCCATACAATATTTGACATAACTTTCTTCTATGGATGTTAATCAGTTAATCAGCAAAAAGTTCCGAATGTGATACATAGGTAACCTTGTTTTCAAATTAACAAAAGCATCTTTTGGCCATTTAACATCCAAGTCAATTTACATAATTGTACAAATATGGAAATCATGGCATTATGTTATGATCATTTGGTTTCTCCAGAAGAATACACATTTCTTGCTTACACGACTCCACATTCTGATTAATCGAAGTTATTTTATCTTTCAAATGATTCATGAACTGAATAATGAAACAGGTATACATTACATTAAACTTTTCTGGATACAATTTAAATTTACTTAAAATCGATGGTGAAGTCAGAAATTAGTGGTCTAACTTGGTTTCAAAATGATAGAGAATCAATTTGTTATTAAATCTACAAATATTACTCAACAAACTTGATGTACCTACTTTATTATGATACAGAGTGGATTTGTATAGAAAATCACGGAGTATTTTCAATTTAAACAATCCGAGTGACTCGCCATTATATCATTTTTGATAAAAAATTAAAAACACTTTAACATGCGTAAGATAGTTTTGCGTAGGTAATAGATGAACAATCTGAGAATGTATTTCTTTAAAAAGATGCAAAATAGAAGAAAAAAAAGCAAGTAGTTAATTGATAATAGGTAAATACGAGTTATGTTATACAGTATTTGTTTAGAATAAGGTGAACAATGTATCTGAAAATACGAACAGAGACAAAAGGGCCAGGCCATTTGGACACRAGGTAATTTAAACGTGGCCGTTTGGGCATGGGTATATTTATTTATTCACAGAGAAAAAAACTCCATTAACAAAAAGTATGTATAAATATAACAGTTAGATGTAGATGTGAGTAACAGTAGTGATGTCGTTTTTATGGGTAAAACCCGATTGCGTACGATTTACCTTTTTGGGAACACGATTGCGTATATTTACTATATAAGAACGGAAACCCGTAAAATGACGTTGCCAAAATTATAAATATACACAGGTCAACGAATCTTGGAGAGGAGGATAATTTTTAAGTCTTTTATCATACATGGCTTTTCTTATTGATTTTATATCTGAATGTGGCACTTCAAAATCTGTTGCCATCAGCTCAGATCTGATCATTTTTGATGGTCTAATTGAAAACGATTCATCTGCTTTACGTTTACAATTTTCTCGTAAACTTTGGTGTTCGATTTTCTCCATTGTAGGTATTTAAAATATTTCTGTGCTCACCCAACATTGATAATACTATTGAACCACACTGTCTGATAATATACTGAGATAACATGTCCTGTTTGTGCACAACCATTTAACTTGCCCATCTTTTCKTTGTCTTATAAAACGATATTTGCTTGTACCAACTAATGCCCAGTCTTTTCCGCGTTCCGACGTACCTAATTATTATTATTGTTTCATTTTCCATTTTAAATAACACAATTATTATACACTTTATACTACGCTCAGAACGTTCGTAATAACTAATAAACTCTACAGTGGTTATAAGTAATGTGAACTTTTATTTCACGATAATCATTTGATATTTCCAGTTTCGTCTATATTTGACTTCCGGTTAGCATGACAACGTTGCACAAAAATTACGTACGCAATCGTGTTATGAAAAAGGTAGCATCGATAAGCAGCGTACGCAATCGTATTCTACCCGTTTTTATATTCTGTAAAACATATAGTCCGCGACATGATAAGTGGCCGATGACCGACACGAACCTAGCGGCCATTTCGCCTTAGTGGTTCATAATGTAATTTAATTAATTACCACGTTTTTATAAATTAACCATTTCAACGTGTATTCATATTTTTTACACAGAAATCAGAAACGAAAGGATTAAATATAATTTACTAAAATTAGTGTAAAATATTGTATAACTCAATTTGTTTATTCAAACCAAATATAACAAAAAAAAAAAAAAAAAAAAAAAATTAAAACAATAATTTTTAATTTAATATCATTAAATATAAATATATTATCCGTGGTTTTGTTCGTCATTATTGTCTTCTTTGTTATCACTCCAGTCACTGTCATCTGGTAATATTGTCATAATTATTTGTTCCGTCATGATGGTATCCCTCATTATTTTTTTTTTTTTTGTTGTCTTCGTCCTAAATTTCTTCTGCATGATCGCAACGCGTTTCTTCCAGTCTATTGTGACTACATCTAATTCTTTATGTGTTAAATGCCCAATATCAACATTTTAAAAGTTAAATTTTGCTACTTGGCAAATTAATTCGATTKAGGCAGAAATRTCATCCAGCTCGTATTTTTTTCGCGTGGCAATAGGTTTTTAACTTTTTGCCGAAGTTCAGGTTATGTTTCCAATGGATGGTACTCAATATTCTTTTTATTTAACCATTGTTGTACGTAGTCTTTTTTCCAATTATTTTTAGGATATTTGTCTTTGAGGATTGAAATACCCTTTAAATACTTCACCATTCATCTGAATTCTGATTATGATAATCYGTGGTATTTCTGGTATTGCTTCAAAATACCGATTTCAAACCTTCTATAAACCCGTAACAAGCACATCCTGCATGGCATACAATAAGTCGACCTCCTTTACCCCTCTTCACCTTTAGACCACCTGGATTATATTTATTTTGCCAAATAAGCGTGCGTGAATAGTTTTAGTTTACCCACGTTTCATCGATATAAACTACTGTCATCTTTATTTTCTTTTATGCAAAATACTATAATACATGACGATATTGAATTAAATGTAAAGGAAAATAGCCAAATTATCTCGAGTAAATTTCATGATTTTTTCATAAATGTATCATCAAATCTATTTACTAAGTTAAGAAATCAACAAAATGAAATTCATAATATAGACACACTATCTGACAACCACATCCCAAGTAAATCGATATTAAATCAGTTTATTCTTACTAATGAAATTAAAATTATAAATCAAATATTGAAACTACCTGGTTCCTAACCTGTTCTAGATGGTATTATGGTTAATTTATTAAAAGAGAATAAAGTTACACAAGCATCCCCATTAAAACATATTTTCAATCTTAGTTTATCAAATGTTATAGTATCTGATTTGTTTAAATCATCTATAGTCACATTAGTATTCAAAAAGGGTGAAACAAATTTGATCAATAACTACTGACCAATTTCAATGATATCAAATTTAACTAAAATATTGGAAAATATTATTAAAGATAGACTAGTAACATTTTTAGAAACTAACAATATTTTTCATAAATCTTAATATGGTTTCAAAAAAGGTAAAAGCACGGGTCAAGCAATCTCTGAAAAAATGTAACAGTCTGTAACACAATTTATTTACAAATCTTTAGATGATAGTAAAAATATGCTAGTCTATTTAGATTTGGAAGCATCTGACACTGTTGATACAGTATACCTACTATTACTCAAGTCAAATAACCCGCAAAATGATCGCGGTACAAATCGGCCACTTTTCATGTCACAGACTATAAGATACGTGATAATGAAAAGAGGTATGTTAGCAACAATACAAACTTACACTTTACTGTTTTAAATGTTTATGACTTTGAAACTAGGTCAGACCGCAAAATCTAACTTAATCATTGTTTTAAGAAAAATTTATAGTATCTCAAAAAAAAAAAAAAAAA